ATCTTACAAGTTTTTTATTTAGTAAGAATCTTTTTCCCAATTTTTGTGTATTACACCATTTGTTTTTACCTCCAAACTCTGTGCTTCTGTCGACTCCTTTCCATCCTTTAAAGATGACTCCAAACCTTCATACTGAAACAAAGCAACACTGTAAGTGAAACCTCTAGAACTTTATTCCAAATTTATCTAGATAGGTGCCTAAGAAGCACAGAGGATCCACTTCCACATTTATGTTAAATTTACTTAGATTTATTTATCAGCTCTAAAGCATAACCTCAAGGTCTTCAAAGGGGACTAGTACAACAAACAAAGCCAGGACAGCTAACCCTTTGCCACCCACCAGCTCGAACAACAAACGGCAAAACTTCATCGTTAAGACTAAGTTCCCCAAAGTCTGCTACTCAGAGAACACAGGACTATAACTCGTGTCAGTATTCTTTGTCTTTTAAAAGGAAATGAAAATTCTAAAGGTTAGGTTGTGTTAAAGATTATCCAAAGGTTTAATGAAAAGAATATTTTTATATAAGTTTTAGTGTCTATTAGCCTCTCTAACAAGTAAACCTCTTCTTTAAGCCTACTCATTAGAGAAATTTATAGTAACTGGCCATCAGAAATTTTCAATTCTAATTTAAATTGTACAATAACTAGGAAATATAAAACCTTTAAAAGATAAAGAGAATAACCATTAACAAATGTATAATAAGGATAATTAAATATATAATGCCATAAAATTTGGCAAAATGCACTTAATTCAATATTTTGAAAAACAGTGATTAAATGGAAGAGTAAGTTGTTTTTGGATCAAACCTCCCTCTGAGAACAAGGAAAAAAACTGGACAAAATACCAAAATAAAAAGATAAAAATAAAGATCTGTATGAAGGCCTCACAGAACTATGAAAGCAGTAGGAATTTGTGAGAGAAAAGGGAATCCCTAAAAAGGCAACTTCAGCATTGACACTTCTTTTCCCCCTGAAAGTAGAGGCTGATAGGATGAGAAGCTAAGTACAGTTTTCAAGAGACTCAGGACTGAGAAGACAAAAATTAGAGTTTAGAACCAGCCAAGTAGGATAAGCCATGTATCCCAGACTATAAAATTGGACCCTGTGATGGGAGGGAAAATGACACACAAAGATGCTTATGTCCTAATCCCTGGAATGCACAGATGTGATTAAGTTAAGAATCTAGAGATGAGGAGAATATTCTGAATCAACCTGGTGGGCCCAACGTAATCACAAAGATCCTTATAAAAGGAGGCAGAAGGATCAAAGTCAGGAGAGAAGGCAATGTGAAGAAGCAGAGACTGGAATGATACAGCTATGCGCCAAGGAATGCTGGCAGCCTATAGAAGATGGAAGGGGACTGGGAGATTTAAAGATGATGGCCAAAGAGTGCAAGGTCTCTTTTTGGGTTAATGAAAATGTTATAAAACTGA